GATATAATGTTCACTTGTGCTACAAGCGGTGTGAACTTGACACTCTCTCAAACGGGAGCGATTTACTCGGTCAAGGATTTTCGTGAAGAAAAGTAGAGCGAGCGGGGGGCGGCGGGCGGCGGCGTAGCAGAGTGGCGGTTTCTACTGCCGCCCTGATCAATGGCGAAGGGGCAAGGAAGACAAAAGACAGACGGGTCCATAGGTTTGAACCCGACCTCAACGAGACGACAGAGATCATGATGCATTTTAGTCCGTCACAGCGCTGGCTATGAAGATGCTATCGTCTAACATGACACCATGTAGTCAAAGAGAAATTTATTAATGATTCAGAGGAACACAGCCACCATCTGCAGGTTCCAGTGTAAGGCAAACAAGAAACCAACAAGAAGACAGGGAACACTACGAGGTACTACCTCTTTTTGCTTGAAGCCTGCTTTTATTGGTTGATTATTCAGATTACTCTTAGATCCTAAAGATGGAAGCAGTACGTTCTTTCGAAACGTCTGTGAATTTCCATCGGCCTGCAAATTGACATCAAGCATGAGTCATACCTGGACTTATGATCCATTTAATTAACACCTATTAGGCTTATGCACCGACGTTTCGGACTTATGATTTGAAACCCGAATTGAGGAGTTACGCCGTGTTGCAATGGTTCGGTGACCCGAAACATAACGCTTAAGGACCCAAAGTAGAATATTAACTTAGTAACGCTTTAAATGCTTAATAATGCTCTGTTGCTTGATAACATTTCACTGACCTGACAGTAAAAACTATGGAAATGTTCGTATTAAGGATTAAAATACTGACAAAATGGGTCCCACTTTTGAGCTCCAGGAACGTAACCCTGTACGTCTCAAGTTAAGGTGAATACGACTACTGAATTTATTTCCTCCACTTCGGACTTAGTTCAGAGCTCAGAACCATTCATGCTTCGTTTTGCTGTATGTGCAGTCAGTCGTTAGCAATCAACTGAAATCCAGTGGAGCATTTGAGGAATATAAGAAACAGAGGCGTTTATCATGATTTTGTATTAAGTACCTGAATAACAATGCATAACGCATCCTACGAAACCTGAAATATGCCTACAAGTAAAAATATGAATACAAAATTCAATTCCTACCTCACAGAAAACATATCGAGTCTCCGTTAAATAGACAAGTTACTGCTGTATGGAAACCTGTATTTATTCTTATAAGCATTTCTGCTGTTATCATGTCCTACTTAACATAATAACACGAATGATAACATGTGACGGCTTGCTCACAGCATTCAGATATGTAATCAGAAAACCCCGTGTAACGCGGCCAACAAAAGAACTTCGGTTATTTAGTAGCGAAGCTCTCAATAATCACGACAACAGAGGAAATACTGAAGACGTCTCCTAGGCAACGGATACAGAAGTGGGCAGATACATCGGACACGCAAAAAGAGAACCTTCAAGGTTGTGATCTCCATACGATTCGACCAGAACCTACCTCAGGGAGAGAGATGACCAACAGAAAACAGAATACGACAGAAGAATCCAGAAAGATATACACGTATTAGATAAGACTGGAGGTCAGTGCAAGATCCAGACAACAGTTAGAGATGCTTCAGAAGGAGTCAAATGTGCGAACTGTTGTAATCAAATGAAATTGTAATTGAGACGCATAATGAATCCAGTCAATCACATCTAGGACTCACGATATCAGTGATGCTTACACGTGACAATATGTACATATTTCATAAAATGTTATCAAAGACGTGGTTCGCCTCCGACTAGTGACGAGATCAAGAAAATGTGGAAGTATACAGCCACTCCCCCACACGCCTTCATGGCGTAGTGCTGAATTAGTTGAGTACAAGGACTTTACCTTAAGACGTGACGAGGACCCTCATCACATTTCTTGACGTTGTGATCATCATCATCATAAATGAGGACACCGAAAAGGTTAGTTTAAGCGATAACGCTACTGTCCATATGAAGGCGCACTGTCGTAAGCCCGCATGGGACACCTAATGTCATGACGTGCTTTCCTGGTCTTCTTCGGGTCCCTTCAGGTTAGTACATTAAATAAGTCACGACCACTTCCTTAAATATCACTTTCGTTATTCAACATCAGATAATTACACACAATATGGAACATGGCTTGACAGAGTCGTTGAATACATTGCGAATATATGCAATTTAAAAATACATTCTGTGAACAGAAAACTCTGTTTTATATTATCAGTACACGTGGTATATAGCGTAACCACTGAACTCTGAAATGTGAGAAACTATGATATCAAGAATAACATTTGCAAACATTCAATATACACGTAAATTCCGATTAGGCTAAAGCTACGAACCACGCGTACTGATTCCCGCTTACTCTCTACTGTACAGTGTTAACCGCCTAATTTAACAGTACAAGTCTGCATTTTGTCCACAGAGTTTCGTATAACTCTTAGAAGAGTGATGATTTCATTAACTTTTTTAATTTCGTTTAATATATAAAAGTTAAGTTCGTACTTCACAGGAAACACATTACGTCACCGCTAAAAAGACCAGGCGGTTAAAGCTGTTTAAGGAAACAGTCGCTGTTTTTTGAAGACCATACGGAACACACAAATGAACTCTGTGGACAGAATGCAGTTTTACTGTTACAGCAAGTGGCACATACAGTAAACACTGGGCTTTAAAGGGTGGGGTACGCGGTAGCGTAGTTTGTTGAGGCATTATGCTATAAGCCGGAAGGTCGCGGGTTCAATTCCCGATGAAGTACTTCAATATTTTCAATTTATCTAATCCTTCAAGCCGCACTATGGCCCAGGGGTCGACTCAGTCTCTAACAGAAATGAGTACCAGGAATCTTCCTGGGGGTAAAGGGCGGACGGCGCGTAAGGCTGACAACCTCACCGTCATCATTGAGCCAATTGTCTATAAGATATGGGAGCCTCGACGTCTCACAACCCTTTGGACTTCCGCGGTCTGTTACAGAGACAGCTTTACTTTAAAGGGTTAAATGATATTAACGGACTGGTCTAGACAATGGAAATGCAGACTTTTCTGTGTGGTGTGTGGTAAATATTATTACATGGTTTTCATGTTTCTGACTTAAGGAATGCGTAAAAAGTGAAATGGGACTGCTTATAAAATGAAGCAGTATGGCGTCAATAGCATGCTTGTAGTGCCGATGATAATCATTGTCGCTGAAATGTCTAAATATAATTGTAAAAACATTTGAACACTGCTATGATCCTACCTGTTCCTGTTGCTCCCACTTGGAGCACAGGGCATCAGTGCAATGCTTCGCTTCACTTCAGTTTCTTAGGACTTCTTGGACGGGAGATCAGACCGTCACAAGGTCGCTACCTACACACAGAACAACACACACACAAAATAAACGCAAACATCAATGCCTTGAGTGGGATTCGAACCCACGATCCCAGCGTTTGAGGGGGCGAAGATAGTTCATGTCTTAGCCCGCGAGGCCACTGTGATTTGCACTGCTATGACTAAGTACGGGAAAATGAATCTCTGTAATAAATAAATTAACAAAGAAATATCCAGTTTTCAAATAAACACAATTAAAATCATATACGACTTATGTCCCCGCTAACTAAACCAGTTTGTTCACATTCTCATCTGTCCGATGATTTACACCTAGATGTGACTTTTATTAGAAATCACTGTAATGTCAGACATATTCCAGTTTCTAGATTCGCGAAACAGGAACGATTTGTACGTCTTTCAAAGGGACGTTAACATTAAGTCATACACAGCTACGGAAACTCACAACTACATTTGTGTAAAGAATCAAACTAATTTAGTAAAGCCAAACTGTGTTTGGGCACCTGACAGATGCTCAAATACTGAACAAATTCCCTACTTTTTATTGAACCCCGACGGTTCATTGCCGTGTTCACAAGACCTCTCCACTTGTCCATATCGTAAGCCTGATCAATCCAATTCATGATTTCCAATCAAATTTCTTTCGAATCCATTTTAACTTCACCTTCCCGTCTGCAACTGGTTTTTGTAGTGGTCTTTTACCCTTCATGTTTTCCTACCAGATCTTTCTATGTATTTTCTACACAAATCTGAAAAAGAGACGTCCCTTTCAAGTAAATACATAATATTCGAAACTGATACCTTCCAAATGCGAAAAAAAAACACTAAAAACTGCACTTATTTTTCAATTCACGTTACTAAAAATATTACAATACATTTTGCTTAGAGTTCTTTTTTATATTTAAAATGCAAGAATATATAATTTGAGCTCAAATCTCTTTTGAAACACGTTCTGAGAATATAGCAGAATATTTCAATAACTTTCAAAGTGATGCTACTGACAGTCAAACCATGACTATGGCTAATCGAGGATTTGCTCCTTAGTTTCTTTCAATTCTGCAAAAACTGAGATAAATATTAACTTCAGCATCGAAAATTAAAAAAAAAAATACTATAATTTATAATTTATCGACAGCCTATTTGTTCCTGTTTGCTTATATCTCGGTCTATACGTTTAAACCCCTTAAAAGAGTAATCTTTCTGAACTACATTTTAACAGCACTACAGAAACCCAACTTCGATTACATCTATTAAAATTAATTAAAAAATATGAAATGTCGGCCAAATAACCACAAATATAATAAAAATAAACCGACAATGTGAAGAGTAGTATCTTCTGGGAGGTGGCGCCCTTACTAGCGTCGAAAAGTAAGCCAAGGACGGAGCATCACCGTCGAGAAGATAATAACCTTCACAGTTACCGCTGTGAACACCTCAAATCTCACAGACCGGTGACATATTTGTTCTATAACCGTATTTGACGATATTAATGTCATTTAGTTGAATATGGAATAAAATAACAGATAAATGTTTTAGCTTTAAGACATTTTTGTGGAATTCGAAAAAAGATTTTATTCTCAATTCTGAACAGTAATTTAAACTGCAGTAGTATACGCTTCCAGTATCAAGTAATACGGCGCTGCAATGTGGAGACCATAAAAGCAAAGTTGCAGGTACTCACAGTGTCACGGAGGATGCGAGAGCGACCGGCAGAAAACGGCCACTCACTGCGTCTGCCCACAGCCAACTGACTTCACAGCGAAGTGTACGTAGACGCGCGGTTCCTGTTAACCAACCCGGCCCCTCACAAGAGCAAGCATGAGCAAGAACAGTCCTGTGAATCCAAAGCCCTTGTCTCCTCTTTTTGTACCGAAAACCTCCCCCCGGAAAGCGACCCAAACCAACACACTGACAAACCAGAAATGAACTCCAGAGAATCGGTGCGCCACAACTTTAAATACTGAGGGGTGGTGGGGGGAGAAGAATCGGGGAGGGTACCTCGCCTTGCGCTAGAGGTTCCCCTTCATGGTTGTCTTGAGCAATTGCATCCTATACGCGCGTTGGTGAGGAGAGACGGCTGTGATTGGGCAGAGTGCAGCCGAGTGGGCAAGAGAACAAATCGCCAGGAATGCGAAAGAAGCGAGCTGAAACAGCAAAGACGTCCCGTCGAAGGTAGTCAGTGTTGGGAACCGTCCTCTTTTGACAGAGGACATCGGTGTCCCCGGTGAATCTCGCTTCTCTGCCCTCCGATAGCTTTCTTCTAGGATGAAGTCTTTAAAACGGCTCGTGTTTCCGCAGAATTCTGACAATTCCCTTTTTACTTCACACGGTAGCGCAGTTGGTTGAGGAACTATACTTCGAGCCGGAAGGTAGCGGGTTCGATTCCCAAAGAGGTCATTGGACTTTTTCAAGTGACCTAATACTTCCAGCCGCATTATGGGCCTGGGGTCGACACAGCCTGTAACAGAAATGAGTACCAGAAATCTTCCTGAGGGTAAAGGGCGGCCGGCGTGTAAGACTGACAACAATCTGTGAGCCGATTGGCTAGAAAATGTCGGAGCCTCGACGTTTCACAACCCTATGGGTCTCCAAGGTCTGTTACAGGGATAGCTTTAATTTCTTAACCTTCTTTACCTCCTTCATAGGTAAATCTTCACTTGTATCTATTTAATTAAGCATCATGCCATGAAGACGTGTAAGGGAGTTGAGGCATAACTCCACTGTTCTTTACCTAAGCACTAGATGGAGATGAGTAGCCAGCTTCACGTCCCGGCCGCTTTATCACCGGGAGCATACCCCCGTCACCCATTGGATAGGAGGCTGAACGGGCCCTAGAGCCGACCATGACGCTGTGGAGAAAAGAAAAATATCTTGCCCCTCCCGGGAATCAAACCCTGGCCTTCCAGCTCCTCGCTATACCCACTGAGCTCTTTCTGTTCACTGTCTTCTATACAGGACTGTTGGAAAATGAACACTGGTACTGGATAGACGTGAGTAACTTCATGCTTCGTCTGTTTTATCTCTGAGCAAGGAACTTCCGTTACAACTTGGTTCAAAGGTTTGGTTGCAAGGATACATTGCATGGAGCTACACCTCCATAAAATAAAATGTAAAAAGGTAAAGCTATCCCTATAACAGTCCGTGGAGGCCCATAAGGGTTGTAAGACGTCGGGGATCCCACATTTTCTAAACAATCGCCTCACTGATGGCGGTGAATTCAGCCTTATACGCCAGCCGCCCTTTACACCCAGGAAAATTCCTAGTACTCATTTCTGTTAGAGGTTGAGTCGACCACAGGGTCATAGTGCGGCTCGAAGGATAGGTCAGTGTACTGATGAACTGCATAACATTATAGACGTTTCGGGAATGTATATTGCCTCCGTCTTCAGAGTCAAATTTTATGTCAAAGAAGCAAGAAGTAAGCAGGAAAGAACTTCTGCTCGACTGCATACGGTCACAGAAGATAGCACTCTTCACAGTACCTATATGAGAACCTCAGAATCAGTGGAATTAATTTTGTTTTCGAACAACTTTCAGTAGAATCCAAAGGAAACGAGTGAAGTTATAAAGGAATATAGCAAACGAGGTATCGATTTTCTTCCTCGCAGCGAGAGGAGGATAAACACGAGATGCTGTTACTCGTATTTCAACATGAGTGCAATGTAAACTTGTATATTTCAAGTTACAATCGATTGAAACGTAATCCTCTAGAGACTTTAATGCTCGAATAAGACGCTAAAATGTTTAGATAAAATAATCCTCTTAAAGATTCCATAAAAGAAAGTCATTTGCATGATAGAACGTTGAAGATACCTCGAAGAATCCCAAGAGACCTGCGAGGGTTGGTGACGTGGTTCAAATGATCATGATGCAAAACTCACACTTCATCAAGGCGAAACTTATTAACGACTTCTGACAGGGCATATCCCCTCACAACAGACCGCGTCCGCCCTCCGC